AATTATTTGGGAGCCAGTCGGGTTGGAAAAAACCACCCCCCCATTAAACTTCATCCTGTATTTCCTCAGCAGCAAGCACATGCATTCTCAGAACACAGGAGGGTGAGGTGGGAATAGCAGCATTCTAAGGTCATCTTCAGCTACATAGAGAGTTTGAAGCCAGCCTGGGCTACAAGAGACCCTGTCTCAGAAAACCAAACTAAGCAAACAAGTAAACATCAAAGGGAGAAAGAGAGTGAGATGATTCATCTGTGAAGGTGCTTGCCTTGTGGCCTGGGCAACCTGAGTTTCACTGTCCTCTGATGGCCACACATTCGCCGTGACACGCATGTACTCACACAGAAACATACATACATACTACTTTTTTTGTTTTTGTTTTTTTTTTTTTGTTTTTTTCCTGACAGGGTTTCTCTGTGTAACCCTGGCTGTCCTGGAACTCACTTGGTAGACCAGGCTGGCCTCGAACTCGAACTCAGAAATCCGCCTGCCTCTGCCTCCCAAGTGCTGGGATTAAAGGTGTGTGCCACCACCGCCCGACCATACATACTACTAATAAATACTTTTTAAATAAAGGACTAGAGGGTAAGGAAGAAATTATAGATTAAAATTTAATCATGGAATTATTAAAAAGAATTTAGTTCGAGGCCAGCCTGGTCTACAGAGTGAGTTCCAGGACAGCCAGGGCTACACAGAGAAACCCTGTCTCGAAAAACCAAAAAAAAAAAAAGAATTTAGGACATCCTGGACATGGTGGCAATACCCTGTAATCTCAGTACTTGATGTAATCTCAGTACTTGAGAAGCAGAGGTAAGAATATTGAAGGTTCTAGTCCAACCTCAGCTACTTAGCAAGTTTGAGGCCAGCCTAGGTCATATGAATCCCTGTTACAAAACAAAACCAAACAGCAACAACAACAAAAACCAAAGACATCAATTATATAAAAGTGGCCTCATCTTGCTAAGCTTGTTTGAATCCTGACCGATGCACAGAACCTATACAACATTTGAGGGTAAAGGGGAATTGAACACTGACCTTTATATGATGCTATTAAGGGATTGTTGCTTATTTGTTTCTGTGATGCCAGGAGGAGGGGCTCAAGGCACAGGGGAAGTATTAAGGGCTGGTGAGATGGCTCAGTAGTTAAGACCACTTGACTACGTTTCAAGAGGTCCTGAGTTCAATTCTCAGCAACTACATGGTGGCTCAGTCATTTATAATGGGATCTGATCGCCTTTTCTGTTATGCACAAAGACAGCACTCGTTTACATAAAATACATGAATAAGTCAAAATGTTTAAAAAGTATTGAAACCAGGCAGTAGTGGTGCATGCCTTTAATCCCAGCACTCAAGAGGCAGAGGCAGGCAGATTTCTGTGAGTTAGAGGCCAGCCTGGTCTACAGATCGAAATACAGAAGGGCTGTAAGAACCGGCAGAGCTGATGAGGCTGTAAGCTGTCTACTTCCATTTCAGATAAAAGCCCCCAGGGGCTGGAGAGGTGGCCCAGTGGTTAGGAGCAGTCAGTATAATATTTACCAGCAAATTTCACGTTTTGAAGATGTATTCATTTTTATATATATGAGTATTATGACCGTGTGTGTGTGTGTGTGTGTGTGTGTGTGTGTGTGTGACAGGATCTCACTGTGTGGTTCTGGCTGACTTGGAACTTGCTATGTAGACCAAGTTGACCTCAGTTTGCAGCAATTCTCTTGGCTCCATCTCCTAAGAGCTGGGCTGTCCTGCAAACATGTCTGTTCCTAGTTCCTGAACCTAATATAGCCAGCTTTAATACATTTTCCAGATACAAGAAAAAACTTATTGTATCTCATCTGTGGGTTTATGTATAAACAGTTTCATGTAGCCCAGACGAGCTATGTAACTTAGGAAGACAGATCTTCCTGTGTCTTGAATGCTCAGATGATAGACATAGCCCTAGTTTATGCCATCGATGGAACCCAGGGCTCTGTGCATGTTAGGATACCAACTGAGTGACATCCTCAGCAAAGATCCGTTCTATTAACTGTTCAATTTGCTACTATTAACTTCATGCTCAGTACCATTTACAGTGTGCCACAGACACACAGTAACATGATAGATTCTCCAAAAAGGCTCCCCAACATGTAGAGAGAAAGGATGGGGTGGGGCCCAACGCCCCCAAACACTCACATCCGTGTACCATTGTGCAGTGTTAAGAGCACTGATCCAGCTGGCTAATGGGAAGGGGAGGACTGGAAGATAATAGAACCTGGTCTTAGGGACTAAACACCAACGCCAAGGGATATATGCCTTCCTGTGCTGTCGAGAGCTTGGTTGGATGTGGGGGCTGATGCTGAGAACTGGGTTTCAGAGAAGTCACGAAACTACTTATTGCTGGCGGATCTTTCCTGCCACACTCCATACCCACTTGCCAGGAGAGCAGATCAAAAGCCTCACACTCGCGGTGCCTTTTGCGCCACCACGCGGTCATCTGAGGTATCTCAGACTTCTGTATTCCAAAGCCCTGCAGCAGGGTTAATCAGAAGATAGCAAGGATGGGGGCCCCTTGCCTAGAGTTCGTTCTTGACTGGAAGATCCTTAAACAGGATGGCCTTCTCTGTCTGGAGCGCTCAGTTTCAGCAGCCGAGTTCCTTTATTTTCTTAGGTACACTGACTCAGGTAAAAGCTTAACCCTGACTCAGGTAAAAGCTTACCCTTGGTTTCACGCAGAAAAGAATTCAGGAAGAGAAGCCAATATGAAGCTGAATTGAAATTTAATAAAGGGATTTTAAGCCAGGCAGTGGTGGCACACGCCTTTAATCCCAGCACTTGGGAGGCAAAGGCAGGCGGATTTCTGAGTCCGAGTTCGAGGCCAGTCTGGTCTACAAAGTGAGTTCCAGGACAACCAGGGCTACACAGAGAAACCCTATCTCAAAAAAAAAACAAACAAAAAAAAGCATTTTAAATGTAAATTTTCAGAAGAGGGAGAAAGAAGGCACTGGGGGAGAATGTATAAGGCTTGGGGTGTGGGCTTCTCCAAGACACCCACTTCATTGTCTTTAAAATGGCCAGTTTCTCCTTGGTGGTGGGGTTTGAAGCTGCTGTCCTGGAAGGATTGCTAGGACTTTTGGACAGTAGGTTACAGAGGTACACAGGGCAGGATTACAATGGACAGAATGGACAGAGTAAAACTGTTCATTCAGGAAGGTAGGGAAGGAGGATTCCTGTAAGCAAAACAAACAAACAAAAAAACGATTTATTTTCACTTAAAAAAATTTTTAGGGCCGGGCAGTGGTGGCACATGTCATTGATCCTAGTACCACTCAGGAGGCAGAGGCAAGCAGATCTCTGTGAGTTTGAGGCCAGCTTGGTCTACAGGGATAGTTCTAGGACAGCTAGGGATACACAGAGAAACCCTGTCTTGAAAACCCAAAATTTAGGGGAAAAAATTTTAGGCCAGTGTGGTGGCATATTCCTTTAATCCCAGCACTCAAGTGGCAGAGGCAGGTAGATCTCTATGAGTTAAGAGGCCAGCCTGGTCTACATAGTGAGTTCTAGGCAGCCAGCACTTCGTAGTGAGTGTTCATAAAACAAAGGGGCTGAAGACAGGACTCAGTGGTTTGGTTAAGAGCACTCACTACTCTTCCATAGGACTCAAGTTCAATTCCCAGCACCCACAGCAGGTGGCTTAGAACTGTCTGTAAGTCCAGCTCCTGAGGAATACGATGCACTCATGTGAACGCCCCTCATAACTAAAAATAATAATGAAATATAAAATAAAATAAAAAACACTTGGGAGGCAGAGGCTGGTGGATCTCTAAGTTTGAGGCCAGCCTGGTTTACAGAGTTTCAGGACAGCCAGGAGAAACCCTGTTTTATTTTATTTTTTTTAGGTTTTTCGAGACAGGGTTTCTCTGTGTAGCCCTGGCTGTCCTGGAGCTCACCCTGTAGACCAGGCTAGCCTCAAACTCAGAAATCCGCCTGCCTCTGCCTCCCAAGTGCTGGAATTAAAGGCGAGCACCACCACTGCCCAGATAGAAACCCTGTTTCAAAAAACCAAAAGTAAACAAACAAAACAAAAACAAAAGCAAGGCTTTAGTTCTGGAGGCTGCAGAGATGGCTCAAGCATTAAGCACACTTACTGCTCTTGGAGAACACCCACCCTGTGGCTCACAACCATGATCCAGGTCTAGGAGATGTAAGGTTCTGTGCTGGCCCACTTGGGTTGTTACATCTGCGTGGTACATATAAACTCATGCAGGTAAACACACACGTAAAATTAATAAATCAATCTTCTTTAAGAGATTCTAACTTTTATTGTTTTATAGTTCAGCCTTCTCCTGGCTGCCTTGGAATCAAGATGCAGAACTCTCAGCTCCTCTTCCAGCACCACGTGTGCATGGACACTGCAATGCTATGATGATAATGGACTAAACCTCTGCAACTGTAAGCCAGCCCCAATTACATGTTTACCTTTATAAGAAAATAAAGTTCATGCAATGCAATACCCTCTGCAGTCAGAAGAGGGCGCTCTACCAACTGAGCTATACCCTCAGCCCAGATTCCCATATTGCAACAGGACACTGTGAAAAGCTGAACTAAAGAACAAGATAGTTAGATACAGAGATTAAATGTGTTCAGCACCCACCACGTCTCTGCTTGCTCCTTAGCCAGCTGTCTTATTTAGAACCTTTGGAAACATCTATATACAAAATCATTCTGAAGTTCTAGGTTTCTAGTTCACTTACCTCTTGGGCTAACTCTAACAATATTAATACTAGAGTTAAAGGGCCAAAAAGTAGTATGTGTAATTTTAAGAAAACTACGTTTGTAAGTTATGCGTTCTTGGTGTGTAGGAAGCTCTGATGGGATCACACTGTTTTGGACACAGCGATTACTCACTGGTCTTGGAAAGAGGCAGGGTCCCTGAGGAACTTGATGCATAAAGTATCACAATTACTTCATTAATAGACTTCTAGTGGGATTCCCTAAGCGGATGATGTATAAATAAAGACACAACAACACCATGTTATTTCAAAATGTGTATTTAACGACATTCCATCAAAACTAAGCAGGGGGATCCCACTTAGACAGCATTAAAGCCGCTAACTTTATGTTTTAAGGTGCAGTTTCATTTGGGCTTCATTTGGTCTCTGCTGCTTGAGGTCTTTTTGCAGGTACCATTTACACAGGACACTGAGGTTGGTGGCTTCTCATGAACTGGGAGATGAGATCCTAACGAAACCATAAATCTTGGATATATTATAAATTCTAGAAACCCTACAGAATCTCACAAAACCTAATACTAGTCATTGAAATACTGTCAACATAAAATTGAGGCATTCTGCACTTTAGAATAGTCACAACACTATCTCAGCAAGCATTAATGCACTCCGTGAGTGCATCTACTCAAAGGACTCTCAGTTACAATTCTAACTAAATAATGTTTTAAATTAGGGCCCATTAAATTCCAGGTAATTACTGAACAATCTGCAGCATCGAGTTATAGTTACATAACGCTAAACCACATCTATAGTTGACTCTGCACTCACCCTTCGTGGTACTCTCCTTTGTTTTCAGGAGAGGATTCACAGAGCTCAGTGATGAGCCTCTTCCTTCCCAGCCTATTTCTCTCTAAAAGCACTCTTATGCTCTTTCTTGGCCACAGTTGCTTTCTTAGCTATAGAACTTCAACCAATAGGAAGCAGAGACTGGGAAACTCAAGATAAGCACTTCTATGTCTGATTCCCAGGGCATTTGCTCAGTTGCTTTTATGTTCAAGTGCTGCACATAGCTGTTTCAGGCTGAGCCATTTTGCAGTCTGGTACAAAGGTGAAGGAAAGGCAAACCAAACTTGTAACTCATTTCCAGTAAGGCTGAGGCCGCTCAAACTTATCTCTACTGTGTGGTCCAGGGTTTCCACCTCCTTTGCCTGCAGTCTACTCGGGGTCGGGGTCAGGGTCGGGGTTGGGAACGGGTGATTCCGACCTGCTACGATGCCCCATCACTCCCAGTTAGCAATGTGAGCTAGCCTGGCTAGAACTCAATCAAGCTTGAGGGTTACTTGTTCCTATGGAGACCAAGGCGCACTTGCTCATCAGTGTGTGCGCTTGTCAAACTCAGAAACAAAACCTATTAGGATGCTGAGTAGATTACAGAGTTTGTAAATGGACTCCGTAGAATCAATCGCCAGCGGCGAACACACAGATCTATCTGGAGACAGGGACGTGAAGTCTACTTGACTGAGTCACACAGCACAGTCTGCAGTGATTCCCAGCGGCAGAGTATCAATAGTTCATTGCGAGGAAGTTAATTACACTGCTAATGTTTTCTGGTTTATTTGAAGAGGCAAATTAGCATAAGTAAATCACGAGTTAAGATGACAAGCTAAACCTTTGTTTCTACTCATTAGATGAAACCACGGGAGCTTGAGTTAAGCCTCTGTGGGGATGAGGGATGTGAGTAGGAAGCAGAGACAGCAGCTCCGGTTTGTGCAAACAGAATCGGAGCCAACGATGACGCTGAGTTTTAGCCGAGGCAACTTTTCATCCCAACTGGAAGCCACAGAATCCTGCTGTAGTCTTATTAAAAACTGTGTCATGATCAGGACCGGTGGCTCTCGGCCACAGTTCCTCTCTGCTGCTTTAGAACGGAGACAGCTTGCTCATGGGTATACTGCCTTCCAGGGTCTCAACATTGACAGCTAGGATCTGGTCACCTCGCTTTAATCGGCCGTCCTCTGCAGCTGCTCCCTGCAAACAAGAACAGTCCAGCTTGACCCAGTGCTAAGCAGATTAAATCAATATTAAAACTGCTACCTTATGTCTGTGCTTATCAGAAGACCTAATTTTAAAACTTCAATAAAATTTTTATAGACAATTTTTTTGGTTGATTTATTTTGAGGAAGGGTTACTATATAGCCCTGGCTGATCTGGAACTTGATATATAGACCAGGATGGTCTTGAATTTATCGGAACTCTCCTACATTTGTCTCCTGAGGGTTGAGATTGTTGGTATGCACCATTATGTTTGGATTTAAAACATTTTTTTCTTTCTTTAGACTATGTAACCCTGGCTGGCATAGAGCTTGATATGTAGACTAGGGTGGTCTTGAACTCACAGAGATTTGTCTGACTTGGCTTCCTGAGTGCTGAGATTAATGGTCTTTGCTACCATGCTTGGTTTAGGCAATATTTTACAGTAAGAAAAATATAGTATCCTATTGTCATTTGAGTAATATGGCTTAACAGTAAAGTATGTATCATCTAAATAACTCACTGGTAGAGCTGTCCAGTTGTCACAGTTCTCTCCACAAACGCAGAACTTTGGTCAATACTCAGAGTTCAATGGGTCTGGGTATCATGTCATATTCACAGAAATATAATGTCTAGGTAGAACTGAATCTCGTGTTAGTCTTACAGTCCATGTCATCCTCATATAAGGATGTCACTGCTTCATTAAGGTCTCAGCACTGTCACCTGTCAAAACTGTCACTTAGTCAGGTGAGTTATTATTGACATCTTAGAGATGCTATACACTTGACTCAGTGGCTTCATTCTCACTTGGCCAATCCTGAGGTTTCTAGGTGAATTCTATGTCGTTACTATGGTGGACCTCAAAATGGCACAGAACAGCTAGGTGGTAGTGTAACACTCCTTTAATCCCAGCACTCAGGAGGCAAAGGTAGGAGAATCTCTGAGTTTGAGGCCAGCCTGGTCTACAGAGGGAGTTCTAGGACAGCCAGGACTACACAAAGAAACCCTGTTCCAACAAATAAAAATCAAAATAACAACAAAAAACAATAACAACAAAAATAAACAAATAATAATGAAAAATGGGAGGAAAGAAGGAAGGAAAGGAAAGACAGACAGACAGACACACAGAAAGAAAAAGAAAGCCAGTCGGTGGTAGAGTATGCCTTTAATCCCAGCACTTGGGAGGCAGAGGCAGGTGGATTTCTGAGTTCGAGGCCAGCCTGGTCTACAGAGTGAGTGCCAGGATAGCCAGGGCTACACAGAGAAACCCTGTCTCGAAAAAAACAAAAACAAAAAACAAACAAAAAAAAAAGAAAAGAAAAAGAAAGAGAGAAAGAAAGAAACCAACCTAACGAATGATTGGCAGAAAGTTTCCCCATCTCTTGGGATCTCTTGAGTCCTGTCAAAGCTAGTCCTCAGAGAGAGCTAAGACTCCACAGGCACTGAATCCTGCCCAGGCTCCGAGGCAAACTGAGCCAAGAGGCTTCCAGGGCCCTTCAGACCCATGGCACCCCATGGCACAAAGGCTCGAAGGCTTGGGCAATAACCCAGAATTGTGAATCTACAAAAAGTATGAAATTCCTTTATACATTATATGATTAAAAATATTTATATCCAAGTCTAACTAGGGAAGGGGAAAGAAGCTACATGGCTCATTAATTAACTAATTAATTAATTAACTGAGACAGTTTCTCATGTAGCCCAGTTTGGCCTTAATTCTGTACTATAGCCGAGAATGACTTCCTGTCCCAGTACTGACGTGCGCCAGGCTGCAGCCCCTGAGAACGCCTGCCATTACCAACGGAACCGTCTACTCTGTGTCATCAGTGTGGCACTTGTGAATGACAGAAGACAACTGGGGATGAATGACTAAAGGACTTCCACATAAGCTGTACTTGCTCGTTGTGTGTCCCAGCCTGGCCAGACACTGTCATGTAGCCACGTATTGCAGCTGAGCGCCCCTAATCAGGAAACACAAAATAAGTCCCAAATCTGAAAAAAAAATCTACTGTGCTTTTTTGTGGCATGATATTCAAAGTGGAAAATTTTACTACTACAAATCTGCTCACGAGAAAGTTACCAGAAATATTGTATGACATTATCTTCCATTTTTTATGTGTGTATAAATAAAATAAATATAAAGCTTGGGTGAATTTCCTTCCATGTATGTAAATATCCTATAATCTGAGTAAAATATCTCAAATTCAAAATAGAGCTGTTCTGAGGCACTTGAGATGAGGCACGCTCATCCGAACTCTTGTCTCAGACTACCCAGGGCTTCCAAATACTGCCCCTACACTTTCTGAGTTTGCCTAGATCATCATCATCTTTCTTTTCTTTCCTTCCTTTTCTTTTCTTCCTCCTTCCTTCTCTTTCTCTTTCTAACATGAACTCTTTCTCCATGTAACTCTGGTAGCCTACAACTCACTATGTAGACCAGGCTGGCCCCAGAGTCACACAGAGATCACCCATCTCTGCCTTCTGAGCAGGGCTATTTCTTGTTGGTTGCTGAGAGGACTAAGACCTCAGGCAGCTTTGACATTAAAGTTCCTTTTTAAGACTTATTTTTAAGAACTACGTGCCTGGTATAGGTATGACACATGCTTGCTGGTGCCTGAGGGAGGCCAGAGTCTAGAGTCCCCACACTCCCCTGCAAATGCAGCTCCAGGCAGTTACGAACTACCAGAGATGGGGACATTGGTGCTGGGGGCCACATTCTTAACTCCTGAGCCATCTTTCTAGCTCAGGATTTGAAGCTGTCAGCCAGCACACACCTGGCTGGCCACACTCTAACAGTCTGCTCGCTGGATGGACCCTCCCTCGATTTCTACATGCTGACAGCACCTGTGACCGGTCTTATTCCAGGAGTGATGAGTCACTATGGGCTATATTAAATAATCTTTTAGTCACGGAAGAGAAGTACTCATAGAAAGTTTCATGTATAAACCTATACCCATGCTTCATGGCTCCAGAAGCCTGAGAAAAAAGATTCTGAGGGGAGTATCCAGTGGGGTCCAAGTCCCTGCAGGAGAAATTATGTCAGAGCCATTTCAAAAAAGTTTTAGGTGGGTGGGGGGTACATCTGTCAGCTTTGGGCTAACATATCCTAGAAGAGTAAACCGTGAAAGAGAAAGGCTCAGCAGCCTTCAGCACTACAGGGCCAATAATGGTTGTTGCTATTACTTGCATTGGGTTATGTTTTCAGAATATATTTACATTTTGTGTGTGTGTGTGTGTGTGTGTGTGTGTGTGTGTGTAGGTCAGAGGACAACTTTTGGGGGTTAGTCTTTTCCCTCTACCACGTTAGTTCTGGGGATCAAATGCAAGTCATGAGGCTTAAGAACAGGTGCCTACAGCAACTGAGCCATCTTAGCCCAGGAACACTCTTTCATCAAGACTGATGGCACTAAGTGGCCTATGGGCCAGAGCTTAGAAATTGTTTTCTTTCTTCTTTTAGATTAAAAAACTTTTAGTTTTAGGTAGGTTTCACACACACACACACACACACACACACACACACACACACACACACACGATTGCTAATTCCAGCCAGGTAATGTGTATGCCCTGTCTTGAAAAACAAAACAAAAACAAAAAAAATCAGTTCATTCCTAAAAAATAAAACACATGAAAAAACAAAAACCGCCGGGCAGTGGTGGCACACGCCTTTAATCCCAGCACTTGGGAGGCAGAGGCAGGCGGATTTCTGAGTTCGAGGCCAGCCTGGTCTACAGAGTGAGTTCCAGGACAGCCAGAGCTACACAGAGAAACCCTGTCTCGAAACAAAACAAAACAAAACAAAACAAAACAAAACAAAACAAAACAAAACAAGAAAAAGAAAGAAAAAACAAAAACCAAGCTAGGTGTGATGACTCATGTCTGCAATCCAGACGGTGGGGGTTGGGGTGAGGTAAGGTGTTCAAGGGCAGCTGCAAAGTGAGTTCAAGGGCAGCCTGGGCTATGTGAGCTCCTATCTCAAAAGTGAAACAAGTTCCTCAACTAAAACTGGAAAACAATTTACAAGGACAGCTGATGGTCTGCACTCCCACTCCCTAGGTGCTCGCAGGGTCCCTTCCCAGGGATCTTCACAAAGGCTTCCTGGGGTGTGCCAGTCTACTCACTACTGCTGGGGCCCTCCCACTCTGCTGGGATGGTTGGATCTTTCATTATTTTATTTCTTTGTTTTTATTTTTTGGATTTACTTATTTATTAACACATATTGATGTCACCTTCAGCTGTGTGTTCTGATGACGCTCCCCTCCACACCGGGATGTACAGACGGGTACAGTGGGCTAGCTGGTTCTTCTCTAGCACAAGGCAAAGGGCTTCCAGCTTTCTAGATGACAGCTAACATGGCCATGAGCATCACTAAGTAGTCAAGGGTCCAGGGTGAGCCATGAAGGTAGGGGCAGCCTTAGCACTACAAGCGGACGCTCCCAGTCAGCTATAACAATGCCCCTTGAGAATAGCGGTCACGACTGCGTGTACTGTTACCTATGTCTTAAGAGGACAGTGGCGCACACATCTACCTACGGGTTCCCAGGCTGGGCACCATGTTGCATTGTGAAGCTGCCTTCCCTCCTCTCTGACGAGCTGCCGCTCGGTAGGTAAGTGGGAACAACATGCCCCTCTGCCTACTGTGTCGTAACCACATGCCACCAACAGGAACCTATGGGCAAATCTCTGGCTGTCTAGTGACATCCAAAAACAAATACCCATTGACTCAAGGGCACAGTTAGCTGGCGGGATCTTTACAAGTAACAGCAAGCTTGCATTCGTGTTAGCAAAACTTTCTAGGAAGATACAGGGTCTAGCTTTCTCTGTACTTCTCTTGAAAACCTTTTCTTTTTCTTTCTCTTTTAAAAAAATATTTTTTTTAATTCTTTGAGGATTTTAAACAATATATTTTCATCAAGATCCTTTGTTTCTTTAGGAAAATAATTCATAGAAAGATGCTAGATCAATTAGTGAATAAAATGACTGTTGCTTTTTTTTTTTTTTTTTTTCGAGACAGGGTTTTTCTGTGTAGCTCTGGCTGTCCTGGAACTCACTCTGTAGACCAGGCTGGCTTTGAACTCATAAATCCGCCTGCCTCTGCCTCCCAAGTGCTGGGATTAAAGGCGTGCACCACTACTGCCTGGCAAACTGTTGCTTTAAAAGTGAAAAAAAAAAATGGTAAGAAACCAGGTATGGCAGCACATACCTGTAATCTGCACTCAGAAGGTAGGGTCAGGAGGATTAGGAGTTCAGGCAAGGCTATCCTTTGCTATGCAGCTCAAGGCCAGCCTGGGCTACAACATGGATGAGCCAAAAAATGAATCTGCAAATAAATGAGTGAAAGAGAAAGTTGCAATGTTTATACTAAGTACTGTTCACAGGTCTTCAAACTTGACAGTAAAATCAAATTCTAATCTAAAGTCTCACACTGAAATGCTATAGAGACAGCAGAAGTAGTGGGCACTGATTACCTGGGCATTCTGGGAGTGGTGTGGGCTTGTTGTTGTTTGCTGTGTGTGTGTGTGTTTGTTTGTTTGTTTGTTTATTTATTTATTTATTTATTTATTTAAGACAGGTTCTCACAATGTAGCCCAGGCTGACCTTGAATTTCCAGGATGTTCCTGTGTCAGCCTTGTGAGTGCTGGGATTATGGGTATGTATCTACACCCACTTTGGAAAGTGTTTAATTCCTGAAACACTGCAATTCGGTATTAGTACCTGGCAGAGTAGTGGGCAAGAGAAACTGCCTCAAGCTGTGTGACAGTCTCCGGGTGATGTGAGGTGCCTGTGTGCTTGCCTGCACGTGTTATTCTGGAGGCTAAAGAATAATGGTGGATGTCGTTCTCTGTCATCAGCCTTATTTGTTCCCACTTTTGTTTGGTGAGCCAGTGTCTCTCTCTGAACCCGGAGCTTACTAACTCACTAAACTGGCTGACTCAGAACCCGGGATCTCCTGTGTCTGCCCTGCAGTGTTGGGATTAGACATTTGCCTTCTGTGATGTTGACCATCTGAGCTCAGGTCTTTGTGTTTACAAAGCAGGCACCTTACCCACTAAGCCACCTCCATACCCTCTTGATGTCTGTATCACCTCCCACCTTGCCCCAGCTGTTCTGGAACTCACCACCATGCTGGCCTTGAACTCACAGAGACTTGTCTGCCACTACCTCTATCTGAATGTTGGGATTAAAGCCGTGCACCACCACACCAAGTCCCTGATTTTCAGACAAAGCTGAATCCCTTTTCAGTCTAGAATAATGTATCTGGAGGCTGCCTCCAGAGCAGGTGCTGCAGAAGACAGACCTCAATCTGTGAGTGTCAGTTTCTCCTCTTGTCTCCCCAAGAGACAGTACATCTTGGGATCCCACTAGTGTAACCCTTCTTTCCTGGTGGGGGATTCGTATGAGACCTGATGAAATAACAACCCTCCCCTGACACAAGTGTAGCCTCCAGCAAACAGTACAATGTACTTAAAACCTCACTAGCTTTGTTGGAAAAAGTACAGTAAGAAGGAAAACTACCTTTGAAAACACAGTCTTGACATAAATTGGGAGGTCTCCGTGTGGACTTCTTTAACCCCCTATAATACTAAGGCCCATTCCTGCAGTCTTTCTCCAAAGTTTAATAATCTAAGGCACCGGTGTTCTGAAAGCACAATGCACGCTGTTTAATTCCAAGAGCAGACACCGAGAGGGAGTTCATTTTAATGGAAGCACAGATTAGATAGAGCCTTCCATACTTCAAAGCTATGAATGCCGTTTTACCAACTCAGACTCTTAATAAGCAACGGCAATCAGCTCATCACCCGCGTGCGTGTGGTTTGGGGCTTTCTCTTGCCCAAGTTCACTGCTTTCTAATTAAAATAGCCACTGAGAGGCGACACAGCCTCTCTAAGCTTAACTCCGTTCTCCTCCTTTTTCCTCCTTTCTCATGGGGCCTGTGCTGGCCTTGACATCTCTTCCTTTTACCTCTGCCCCCTAAATTCTGAGATTTCAGGCATCAGCCAGTAGACCCATCTCTATGGTTAGCTCTTTTTTTTTTTTTTTTTTGGTTTTTCGAGACAAGGTTTCTCTGTATCGCCCGGGCTGTCCTGGAAATCACTCTGTAGACCAGGCTGGCCTCGAACTCAGAAATCCACCTGCCTCTGCCTCCCAAGTGCTGGGATTAAAAGTGTGCGCCACCACTGCCCGGCCAGAGACGTGAGGGTGGGTTTGTTTGTGCTGGTGGATCCCAGCCAGAAGCTATGGCGTTAGAGACAGGGCAGCACTGCTTTTCTGTAAAGATCTGGGTTTTAGTCTCACTGTTTCATCATGTACCTCAGGGTGGCCTGCCTCACAGCACTCCTACATCAGCCCTGAGTGTGGGACTACATGCGTGAGCTTCGGTGCCACCCAGACTTTTTTTCCCTCCCTCCCTCCCTCCCTC